TACTAAAGGGGTACGGACTTAACAATGTTTATTTTTAGAATCCATGTGCGATTTGGTTTATTTTTGGATTTGAAATTTGAACTGTATGCATATATTTCAGGAGGAAATGACCAAACTCTCTCAGCAGTTGTAGGAACCAAGACTGGCTATTTGTTACAGAGAGACCATCATTTTCATTATTACTATCGTTATTGCTATTTGGATCATAATCATTATCATGTGAATTATGATCATTATTACCATTATTGTCATTATTTTAATTTTCATAACTTTGTTATCATTTTATTTTCATGTCATTATTTTCATTAATATAATCGTTATCATCATTATCATTATCATCATTACCATTATTGATATTTTTGTTATCTCCATCATTATCGTTAATGTCATTGTTACATTGGGTCTCAGTCCTCGTCTTCTATTATTTTCATTATGATTTAATATCATCATTACAGTAAATATTACTATCATCATCATCGTTATTATCATCATTATTATCGTAATCATCATCATTGTTATTATCATTATGATTATTGTTATTGTCATTATCATAATCATTCTCATTACTAACATTTTGTTATTATCACTATTATCATTATTATTATTATTATCATTATAATTAATATCGTTATCATTATCATTATTATTATTATTATTATTATTATTATTATTATTATTATTATTATTATTATTATTATTATCAATATTATTATTATTATAATTATTACCATTATTGTTATCATTTCTATTATTATCACTATTATCATTATCATAATTATCCTTGTTACTATTATCATTATCAGAATCATTATTACTACTATCATTATCATTATTATCATTATCATTACCATTATTATTATTATCATTATTATTACCATTATTTCTATCATTACTGTCATCATTATTACTTTTTATTATACTATTTTTTTCATTTCTATTGTTTTTTTATTGTTACTATCATTATCATTGTCACCAGCGTTACTATCATCATCATCATCATCATCATTATCATTATTATGATTATCATTGTTATCGTTGTCATCATGATTATGCCAATACCATTATCATTTTAATTATGGCCAAGATCCCACTGCAAGCCTTGAGAGAGGGAGCAAATAAGCAAGCATCAAAGATTATACAGCATTATGGTAAAGTATTGTGGAGAAAAGGTAAAAAAGAGTTAACGATTAGGATTCAGTGTGTTCGATGTCAAATCTTGTAAAGCGGTATAGGTCAAGGTCTATATAAGTACTTATATAGACCTTGGTATAGGTAGTGCAAAGGGCACAGGGGGAGCAAATGGAGCAAGGCGGAGATTAGTAAAAGGGGAAGGGGTTCAGGGCTCAATACGATTAGGTTACATGGAGAGTATGTATGTCTGAAAAAGGGAAAATTGCAAAAGAGCCACAATGAAACGATCAACGGGTAATAAGGGTAGACGTGGGTGGTGGAGAAGAAGGAGAAGAATCTATGGATCGAGATAAGGGGACTGGGGAAGGTGGTGAACTATCAGGATGTCAGGAGAGGAGGAATCCGGAGAAGGACAACGTTGCGACGTAAGGGAGTGGCGTAAGCATCCAGGAGGAAGCACCAAGGAGAATGGGGAACGAAGGGGGTGGGGTGATGTAAATGGAAAACGGGAGGATGGGGTATGTTGGGAGAGCGGGAGGAAGTGGGGTACGAGGAACTTGAGGAGGAGGAAGGATATCAGCCATTACATTGACTGTAGAGGTTAAAGGAATAGAGAGACGGGAGGATGAGAGAGCGAAACATTCTCCAGGGTCATGTTTAGGGTTTTGGATGTCTTCAAGAGTTTCTCAAGGGGAGTTTGAGGTCTGAGAAACGAAGTAGGATAAGAGGGGACAGAAATCAGAGGAAGGAGGGGAGGAAGAGGTGGGTATAGGAGAAGATTGGATTTAGATTGCTTTGTCCGACAGTTCAATTGAGAAGGAGGAGGGGTAGGCTTTGGGGGAAGTGGTAAAGATTAAAACACCTGAATTTGGACTGGAAGTGGAATTTGACTGGGGTAGAGAGGATGTTAATATACGACGGTAAGGGGTAGAGGTAAGAGATAAAGGGTGGGGATGGCGAGATATCTCGAGAAGCTGGGAGGGGAGCGGAATGAAGGATAGCGTAGGATCAGAGAAACCTCATCGGCGTGCTTCCTGACGTAGAATGAGGCTAAGTTTGAATCTGAGAACTGCTACCTCAGATTCGAACTTGTAGAGAAGGCAGCCCCTATAAAATATTTAAGGGGATCCACCACAGTTGACATACGTGCGAGATTGAGGAGAGTAATTCGAACAGCCATGACCAGGTTGGCCTCACAGAGAGTAGCGGGATGTGGAGCGACAGTGTTTGACTGGGTGGCCGAATCGCCAACATTTCTGACATTGGCGGGGAAGGGGTCGATATGGTCGGACAGGGCAGGACACGCCACCGACATGAACCGAGTGGGGAAGGTCATGTCTACGGACGTCAATCTTGGCAATATTGGTAG